GCTATTGAAATTAGAACTTCCTCATAAAGTTTAGAAGATCACATAAAGGACCGTGGAGAGACGTTATTTGAATTAGGAACTGCTTCACAAAGCCTTAATCAAGTATCAGAACTACTTTATGATGGAAGTATTATAAGTTAGAAACTTCCTCATTAAAGTTTTAGAAAATCAATTAGAAACCCAGCCAGTGAAATATAACTGTGAATAGAACAACAGTTTATAACATGGTATATTCACTTATTAGATTCCGAATTCTAATGTTCAGAGAAAATAAGACTTATTACCGTTTTAGAACATCTGAATTTCATATAACAATTTTAAGCGGTTCTAAAAATTAAATAGAGGTGGTAATTAAAAGTAATATCAAAGCAAACTTCAGAAATAAAAGATTGAAAACACAGTGATTTATAGTGGTTCGCACTAACTCTTCTACATTCCATCCCCAAGACGCATCTTGAGATCCTCACTATGTTATCTCTTTTCAAGGGTAAGGACAAACCAACAGTACAAGGCAATAACATCAACACCTAGATTCTACCATTTGTCCACTAGATTTTCCAAAGGTTCTAGTTACCTCAACCCTTTTTCTGTTTTGGCAGGAGTACAGAAACTCAATTTCAAGACATTGAAATCCCACCATGGAGATGGTCGCTTGATAAAACCTCTTATTACAATTAGCTTTCTAAACCTAAGCTATTACAACAAATTGTTTAATCAAATAAAAGCATGTCTACTATAAATTTACAAAATCTAAAATAGACAGAAGGAAACGCCACATATTAAGCACAGGAAATGACCAGTTTATCAGATTAGAAGATCGATTAGAACACAGAACTGTTTTTCAAAGAGTTTGTAAAAAATTTTTCTTCTTTAAAAGATAAAAACGTTAAGTGTAAAGATGAAAAAGAAAAATGGGGGTAGAGAGTAAGTTTTTGATGAAGAAAAAGGATTTGATCAATGAAAGAATGCTCTTAAAACGAAAACTTCTTACTTCACCAAATGTTCAAGACGTGAAAGCTCCTTTATATGAGAGAGCTAAGAAGGCGTGTCGCCCTTAGAAAGAGATTTTATTTTTGAAAGCAGAATATCTTCTTTCCTATTTAGAAAGGTATGAAAAAACTTGTTTACCAAATTTTTATTTTATCATTTTTGGTTAAGGAGATATAAAAACACGATTTGCTTTCCTTTTAAACAAAAGATTTTCGGCAACATTATTTGGAAAATAATTTTAAACAGAGGATTCTCTTCTTACTAAAAACGAAAAAGATTCTCCTTCGTTTTTAAGGTAAGAAAATAAATTTAAGTACTTTAGATCTTTCAAAAAATATTTTCGAAAAGTGTATTATTTTATTACCAAAAATATTAGAGAAGAAATCTTTTTAGTTTTAGGAAAATAGATCATTTCGATTTAAGGAATATTTTTCGAAAATAAATAAAAGAATTTATTTTGAAGGAATCTAATTTTCCGAAAAATATTTTTGAGAGAAAAATAAATTTTTGTGCTCATATATGGATTTTCCCTCTATCCTACAAAATATCCTAAAATACCTAGCTACTAGGATCTTCGAATATCTTCACACTCAATGTAGGATTTGCCTTGTACGATTTCTTTCCATAGTAATAATTCTGCATAAAATAAAATTAGCACAAATAACATAATTTAAATTTATTTGTTTTGTATTAATCATCAAAATCCGAGACTAGAAATTGACCCTTGACCCAACACTTTTATCTCTATAAAAACTCCTTTTTTTTTCTCACTTCTCTTATGGTCACAAGAGCCATATTTCATTAGTAACGTGCTGTGCCGCAAGAAGCAGCTTAGTGAAGCACCAAGCAGGCATCATTAGAAATTACAGTTTGGATTTGGAGGAGTTTTTAACTCTATGATTATGTTATTAAACAATGATTTTAATTTTGAATTATTTTCATATGAATTATTTATCACTGTCTTAATTTTATGACTTTATGTTGTTAATTTATGGTGGTTCCATTTTAGCATTTTATACTGGAGGAAACACGTTAGAGGTGGATTGCCTATGTGTAATACGAGAAATTGTATTAAAAAAGCGCCAAGTCGTGTGGATAGATTTACTAACCGTGTTGAGCTGAATGATTTCTGCAAAGATAAGCTTGAGAAGGGGTCTTGGTATTTGTGCTCACAGAGGGCAGCAGAATTGAACCATGTACCATGTTTTTACTGTATTGGATGCTTTGAACAATTAGGTGCTAAAATAAATAGTATAAGATTATTGTATATAAAAAATGATATAGGATTATTGTACGTAAAAATGATTAATTTTGTTTTATGATAATATTTTAATTTAATATGTTTTGGTGGTCTAATTTTTTGAAACATTTTATTTATATAGTCTAATTTTTTGAAACATTTATTTTATATAAAACTAATTATATCAATTAATTATTCAAATTTAAATTAAATGAATTAGTTTGAACTCTTATGTGAAGTCATAACATACTCTTAATTAAATGTGTTAATAAGAAATAAGTTCAAGACCCGTAATTAATTAAGGGATATTTAATAATATCATTCAATATTCTAAGTTAAAAATTTTAGCTCTTATTACTCAATACAGTAATTTTAAATTTACATTGAATAAAATAATTTAATAAAATTTTAAATAATATTACAATTTTAAATCTCCATCAAAGTTTCTAGAATCATTTTATAAAGGGAAAATTATTATTTTGTCCCTGAGGTTTGTCATAATTATTTAAGTAGTCCTCGACATTTATATATATATTTATAACGTCTCTGAGGTTTCTGAGGTTTGCCACCGTTATATTAATTGGTCCTTCTCAAAAAAAATACACTTTATTCTATTAATTTTGAGAGGAAAAAAGACGAAATTTATTCCTTTGGAAAAATAATATTTTTTCCCTGAGATTTGCCATAATTTTTAAGTTAGTCCCGATATTTTATACAAATATTTATAACGTCCCTGAGGTTTATTTCCGTCATATTAATTGGTCCTTCCATAAAAAAAAAATACACTTTTTCCGTTATTTTGAGTGAAAAAGACGAAATTATCCTTTATAAGTTTTCATTGACATTATTGTCAATCCCTTTCCTCTAAAATACCTAAAATTCAAAATTTCACCATCTTCCTCAACCCAACACGGTCTTCATTGCCACTACCGTGTCTCTGTCAAGTATCTGTCAAGTATCATCTCCATAACCAGATCACCAACAAAACTAAAAGGGAAAATAATTATTTCGTCGCTGAGGTTTGCCATAATTATTTCAGTAGTCTCTGTCATTTATATAAATATTTATAATGTCCCTGAGGTTACTTTCGTTATATTACTTGATCCTTCCGTCCAAAAACACACTTTTTGCTATTAATTTTTAATAGAATAACCAAACTACCCTAAATCATCTAATCAATGAGAGAGAGATAAATGGATGAAGGGTGATGATGGCTTGATTGAGTTTGGATGTTGGGTTTTAGTTTTGATGGTGATCTGGTTATGTGATCTGGTTATGGAGATGATAGTTTTCAATTGACATGGTGATGGCAATGAAGAACCGCGTTGGGCTTGAGGGAAAGATGGTGAAAAATGTTGCAGTTTTATGGTATTGTTAGGCGAAAAAGATTAAATAATATGTCAATCAAAAACTTATAAAGGATAAATGTTTCGTCTTTTCTACTCAAAAAATTAACGAAAAAAGTGTATTGTTTTTTTATGGAAGGACCAATTAATATGACGAAGTAAACCTTCAGGGACGTTATAAATATTTTGTATAAATGTCGGGACTACTTAATAAAATTATGGCAAAATCTCAGGAACGAAATAACATTATTTTTCCAAAAGAATGAAATTTCGTCCTTTCTCTCTTGCTCAAAATTAACAGCGGAAAAAGTGTATTTTTATGGAAGGACCAATTTTACTATTACGGATGGCAAACTCAGGAGTTATATAATATATGTTCATTAAATGTGAGACTAACTTAAATAATTATGGCAAACTCAGGGACAAAATAAAATCAATTTCCTTTTATAAATTAGTTTACCTAAGATATTTAATGAAAGAGTTGTATTTAAATCTGGTTTGACAATTAAATGTACTAATAATCTTAAATTATTTTAATTTTATTATCTACATTATTAGAAATCAATCACAAACTATCAATCAATTTAGTTTAAAAAAATTATTATTTATGTTAAACTAAGTATCTATTTATAATTCTTGTCAAATTTATTAAAACTTCTTTTACTTAATCCTTTTTATTTTATGATTGGAATTAGTCAATATTTGGTTTATTTTTTACATAGTGGCAAACCTCAGGGACGTTATAAATATATGTATAAATGTCGAGAACTACTTAAATAATTATGGCAAACTTCAGGGACAAAATAATAATTTTCCCTTTTATAAAATTAGTTTAACTTGTATTTATATGTAAAGAGTTTATTTAATCTGGTTGAAATTAAATGTATAATAATTTAAATTTTTAATTTTATTATCTACATTATTAGAAATCAATCACAAACTATCAATAATTTTATTTAAAAAATTATTATTTATTTAAAATAAGTATCTATGTATATCTTAATTTTTAAACTTTTTTACTTAATCCTTTTATTTTATGATTGAATTAGTCAATATATTTTTATTTTTTCATAAAGTGAATATATATATATATCAACTTATGTTTGTTCAAGTCATCATTTTTAATTTTCTAAATTTTGAAAAGTCTATATAGCCTATGAAACTATGTATACTAAATAATTTATAAATTATAAATTAAATTAAAAACTAAAAGTATAATATATAAAAAAATAACCTGCAAAATCAGCATTATCTAGATTTTATATAAAGAGAGGTTGTAATGTATTTTAAAAATATAATAATTTTCAATAAAAACTAAAATTGAAATCGAAATTAAAATCAAAATCAAACAATTAAAATTGAAAAATCGATAAACTATATTAGAACTGCACAAAAAATTTAATTCGGTTTGAATCTGATTATTTATTCCTCCAGTACCAATTCAGATTTCTAAAAACGAAGGAATTCAGGTTTCTAAAAACGAAGGAACCGAATATTTTCCATTCCTCTTAATAACCATGCCGGAACCGTACTTGCACAGCCTACTGTCATGTCACTTGGAAATAGAACCCGTACTGTCGTTCCTCCCGCTATCCTATAATGGCGATCTGTTTTCTGTCACCCTCGAAACCGGTAACATTTTCTCCTTCATTACAAAACAAAAGGCCACCACCCCTCCTCCGCTGCAACTTCGCTCTTCCGACCATCGCCACTACTGAACCCGAACCCGTCTACACATCCGTCAGGTCCTTCGCCCCTGCCACAGTTGCCAATCTTGGTCCCGGATTCGACTTCTTGGGTTGCGCTGTCGATGGTCTAGGAGACTTTGTCGCCGTTCGAATTGATCCCTCCGTTCATCCCGGCGAGATTTCTATCTCTGACATTACCGGAACCCACGCCAGTAAAAAACTCTCAAAGAACCCTCTATGGAACTGCGCAACTATCGCTGCTATTGCTGCCATGAAAATGCTTAATATCCGCTCGGTGGGTCTTTCTCTTACACTTGAAAAGGGCCTTCCTTTAGGGAGCGGCCTTGGATCGAGTGCTGCCAGTGCTGCGGCTGCTGTTGTGGCGGTCAATGAGATTTTTGGTGGAAAATTACAAGTTAAGGATCTTGTTCGTGCTGGGTTGGAATCTGAAGCTAAAGTTTCAGGTTATCATGCAGATAATATAGCGCCAGCAATAATGGGAGGGTTCGTATTGATTAGAAATTATAATCCTTTAGAATTGATGAGCTTAAATTTTCCAGAAGAGAAAGAAATCTTCTTTGTGTTGGTAAGTCCGGATTTTGAGGCACCCACAAAGAAAATGCGGGCTGCTTTGCCGGCAGAAGTCGGGATACCTCATCACGTCTGGAACTGCAGCCAAGCTGGGGCGTTAGTTGCTTCTGTGCTGCAAGGAGATTTGGTGGGGTTGGGCAAGGCACTCTCAAATGATAAAATTGTGGAGCCTAAAAGGGCACCCTTGATTCCTGGAATGGAAGAAGTGAAGAAGGCGGCCATTAGTGCCGGAGCATTTGGGTGTACAATTAGTGGAGCAGGGCCTACAGCTGTGGCGGTGATTGATGATGAGGAAAGAGGAAAGGAGATTGGAGAGAAGATGGTGGAGGCCTTTCTGAAAGAAGGAAATTTGAAGGCTGTGGCTATGGTGAAGAGGCTAGATAGAGTTGGTGCTAGGCTTGTTGGCAGTGTTCCAACCTGATAATCAAAGTGTAATTTTCTTTTTCCTTTTGCATTTTTGTGTTTAGCTTTTATCTGTTTTTCAGTAGTCTTTCAGTTTTGTTTGAGAGAATGGTTTCTAGATAGCTTCAGAGAATGCTAATAATTGTAGTGTTTATTTATTTCCTTGTAACAAATACTATTTTGGAAACACTAGCAATTTCGATTTCAAATTAATCTGGCCATTGTCCGCCTTTATTTTATTCTCTTTGAAGATGTACATCCTTTAATGTTCTTGTCATTGTATTGCTATGCTTTAATGGTGGAACTTGCTGCACCCTTTTTTGGTTATGAGGATTCTGACATTTGCTCTAGAAAGATTGGAACAGATTCACATGTCTAGAAGATAAAATATGCACACTCTGAGATTTGTAATATGGATACATCTAAATTCCATTTTTTGCTTGCATGAGCTAATTTTGCAACAATTTAGGAATTAGCTCTGCCAATTTTCTTCCTGTGATATTTTTATGAATTAATCATATGTTTTTGGTGCTATTATGCATAGCATCACATTACTATTCCAGGATAACACTCATGGTCCTAATGTTTCTTCAGATCTTTGGATTTAGAGGAGGTTGGTTTTCTTCCAAAATCTAGGCACCTTGTTGAGTATATACCTGATAAGAGTGCGAAGATGTCTGTTTTATTTCATCTTTGTTTCCTCCCTTGATCAGAACAAGTTATTAGTTCTCTTTTTGGTTTTAATTTTGCCAATTGCAGATGCTAATTCGAAACAAGTTTGGAACACGAATTCTCTTTGCTGTTCCAATCCCCAAAGAAAGCTCAGCTTCTGGAAACTTGATTGAGTCGAACTTGAAGCCAGGTTGAATAATATTTGCTAATAATTTTGTGTTTGTTTTAATAAATATGGTTTTGAGATTTTTATAAAATTGAACTGGACTAGATCTTCAGGTATAAATAAGAATACAACAGTCAATGCTTAGGTTCCCTTCTTGGTTGGAGCAGCGGATGAAGCAATTGGAGGTGCCTCATTGGCAACAAGTATCCTTCATTTTTTCCTGATTCAGCAACTTTATTTTGGAAAAAGTATTACACTGAGGAATCAAATAGGCAGCAGTTGGTTTTGTAGTTGATGTAGTAATTTATTTTTCTTAACCAACTATCAGAATCTGCATCACAAAAGACCGAGTTCTATAGGGGATAATTGAGAATTAAAATACAGATTCACCATGGGGACTTTAGACTTTTGTAAATAGTAATTTTTAAACTTTAGTATTATTTATATTTTACCCCTCATAATTTTTTTTACTATATTAATTAATTTTAGTTTAATATTTAATTTATTTTTGTTTGGATTTTTGTGACCAGACATTTGCATTCAATTCCTAATGCAAATTTGGTGCGCCGAACAGCCATAGTGAACGCTTTTGCCAAATGTGGTGAAGTTGTTTTTGCAAGAAAACTGTTTGATTCAATGACTCAGAGAGATCCTACTGCATGGAGTGCAATTATTGTTGGGCGCAAGCAAGGAAATTATTGGATTTGTGTCATTGAATGTGGCTAAAGTGTTAAAGGTTAATGAAGAGAGATGGGCCCGTGGCTATATCTAGAAAAATAATATTCTGTAACTATTGGAATAGGGATACCAAAAATTGTCCAACCTAGTAGGGCCCATATGATCAAATAGAGCTATATCTATAATGGTGACCACTTACTAATGCTTCAAAGGTTATAAAAGAAAGTAACAGAGGAGCACTATTTAAGCATCAAGACCTTTACCAATTACTAATGCTTTTGAGTCTAAAAAATTTCTTTCTTTAGCCTTATACATCAAAGGACAATACCTTTTACCAGAAAAGGAAGGAAAAAGGAAAAGAAACTGATGTTTGGATTGGTCTAAAAGAGAAACAGTGGAGCACTTGAAGCATCAATTAAGAGCTTCACCACCATAAGTTTGTATTGTAATACTCTAATTTAGTTTGTGGGTTCCGTCATTTATGACAAGAATGGTCTATAAATTGATTTTTGAACTTGTTATACAAACCTAAGGTAGTTACAAAGATTTAAGATAGGTTATGGTGATTTTATTACTAGCCAAGCCTAATGTTATCCTTGGTTTCAGTTAATGTACAAAATTCTCTTTGAAATTACAAAATCATTCAAAATTTTAATCTACTCGGTTTGCATTGGTTCGGTCAAATATCATTCAAACTTGTCCAGTCAACAATAAAATATTTAATTGGTACTTTTTCTATGATTCAAGCATCTAATTACAATAAATAACATTGTCGTTGATTTAATAATATTTTGGTCAATAAACTGATTGGAGAATAAATTTAATTGATGGAAAAAAAAATAATGAGCTGAAACTGAAAATATAATAAAGGTCAGGCTCAAGTAACTAAGCCAAAAAAGAAGTCAAGTGAATGAATTTTTCCAATACAAACTATAAGTTGTGGCACAATGAAGCAGCCCAAGGCAATAATCTCGTTCTAAATAGTTGGAACAGGAAATGGTTTTTAAATATTTTTATACTAAAAATTTTTTGAAGAAACTAAAACTAACAATAATTTTTGGACTCCATTTACTGAATTGTAATTTAATTTTATATATATATATATACTGTAAATATTACCAAATAGAGCTAAAATGCCGTCAATCCCATTGCAGTAGAAGCTGCAAGATTATATATATGTATATATAGGATCCCCACGTTGGTGCATTCCATGTATTTCTTTGTTGAGAGCTACCGTTGGCAATATAAAGCCACAGTATAGGAAATTCTAAGAGCAAGAAAGATAAACACAATTCCAAGTTTTAGAAAATAGAACTAATTTGTATAGCTAAACTTAGAGATTGGGAGAGGAACAAACAGAAATGGATATCTTTCCTGTTGTTTCAGTCAAAAAGCCATAAAATAACTCGATATACCAATTTTATGTATGGGGATGGAAGCTAAATAAGAATGAATACCACAGACGTCCTCAAATTCAGATTACCGCCTATTAGGAAAGCACCATCAACTTTGTGTAGATGACCTTTCGCTTGTAGAATAGGATGCTCCAACAAACACTAGCTGTGTCAAGAACTGGAGACCTCTTTGCTGCAGACAGGACAAACCTGCAGTTTTAGAGGGCAGGAGTCATACAACACATTCTTCACATCATATACCAATGGTGATCTTTAAACAAGTGATTTACTTGCCATTTGTTCTTTAAAAATTTAATTGGTAGAAAAGAGAGCAAGAGCAGTAATGCAAAATCAAGAAGAGAGGCAAAAACATGGAATAATGACATTCTCGCCAAACCCAGGACGTTTATCATATAACAAGTAGTTAGGGGAATCTGTGAATTCAATTGAATTATTTCTGCATTTTATGCTGTTATTTTTTCAACAGAAAAGAGCTGTTCCATTGTTTGGTTGGGAAGATGTGTAAAAGGATGGAAGTATCCATCTCCATTCTGTCAGGTGGGCCCAACAAATTGAACTGATTGGCAGGAGAGGAGGTACCCTTTTGATAGGCTTCCAAATTCTTAGTATAAAAAACGCATGCCAAATGATTCTTACTCCAACCAACAACATTAAATTACTTTTTCTATCTATCCAAACAACATTAAATTAAGGAGAGAGAGAACAACAGAGCATCAATGAACAATACTCGACAACAATTAATAATTGATTCTTTTCATCCACAAAAAATTCTAATACGCAGAGGAAAAGCATCCAATAAATGAGTAATTTCTATCATTTCGTTTTATATTACAATAACACTGTCCCATTAGTAGGCTGAGCACCAATTTACTATCAAATCAACAATGGCCGACATTACTATGTTTAGTTCAACCGAACAATAATTGTCCAGATGCATTCAGAAAAAAATGGCATGATTAAGAAAGCAATAAAATCCCTTCTTAGATTTGTGGATAACCAGCAAGCTCAAAGTGAAATCAATTACACTGGCTTGGTTGACAAAACTGTCAGGCAGGAATTTTTCAAAGGACCAGCTTCCTAAAACTTCGACCCTTCCCGTGTTAAAATGGTAACCAGAAACGAGATGACAAGAAGAGGAACAAATATTTTGGCTTGTCTGGGCATATGGGGAGGAAATTTAATTGTTAAAAGACATAATTTTGTATTCTCTCATGTTAGTTTTAAAATTATCATTAAATGAAGAGGATTAAAAGACGACCTTTTTTTTTTTTTTTTTTTGTCCAGATGACTGGCTTTGGGTTGACAAAACTGCAGGCAGGAAATTTTTCAAAAGGACCAGCTTCCTAAAACTTCGACCTTCCGCCGTTGTTAACACTGGTAACGCAGAAACCGGATGACCAAAGAAGAGGAACAAATATTTTTTGGCTTGTCTGGCATATGGGGAGGAAATTTAAATTGTTAAAAAAGACATAATTTTGTATTCTCTCATGTTAGTTTTTAAAATTATCCATTAAATTGGAAGAGGGATTTAAAAAGACGACCTTTATTTTTTTTTTTTTTTTTGGAACGCAGGGGAAATATATTCTCCTTTTTTTTTTTTTTTTTGGGACGCGGGGAAATATATTCTACCTCAATTTGGGGGGTAATGACTTTTCACCATATGTGAGGGGAAGGAAAGGCAAATACTACCCTCTCTTTCTAGGCCCCGTTACAAAAATTTAGAAACCAACCCAAAAGGAAGGAAGTTGCCACCATTGCCTTCCCCTCCACTCCATGTCTTTCCCATCCCTCCATTTATTCTCTAACCATGATTAATTGAACAAATCATCGAGTTTAAATTGAAACAAAGAGAAAATTATTCATTTATCTTATCATTCATTGATGAGCTGTAAATCTTGCCAACTAATTATAAAATTAAAAACATAGTGCAATAGGTCAAAACAAAAATATAAGAGTGCAATATGTTAAATAAAACGTCAATGGTGCAGCAGGATTTTCCTAATCCATTCAAGGATACAATATTTTTAATAGACTTTGGCCAATTATATATTAAAATGAAATGGCTTCTAGTACACAGACAGACTCTTGAGCCATCAAGCTAACTAAGTAAATAATTTAAATTTTTATGCACTAAGGTGTTAATGGCTTACCCAAACTATTTTCTTTTTAAAGCTTAGTGTTACGCAGAGTTGATGAAATCGAGGCAACATTAGAAAATTAATTTAAGAATCTCATGCATGTACTTATGTCCTGAGTTCTAATAGAAATATCACCTGTTTATATTATTGAATGAAGTGTAATCTTTATATAAAAATGCCCAACAAAAAAGAGGTGAGAGGAGGGACCTAACCTTAAAAAATAATAAAAAACAAAAACCTAGGTGGTTAGGTTAATATGGCATAAAATGTCAGTCCATTAGAAACAAAAATTTTCAGTAAAATATAAGCCACAAGCATGCTTTCTGAGTGAAAACTACAAAGAAACAACACTAAGAGATTCTCTGTAGAGCTACCAACATAGGACAAAAGAATCATACCTTGTTTATTTTCAACCAATCATTTATGCATTCTGAATGGTAGGAATGTTTGCAAGAAAGCACTGTTAGGGTCTCACCATCATCGTAATCTAAACGACATATGACGCAGCTGAAACACAAGCATAAATATTTAAGTATCACATACCGACTATTGCGATAAAATAAAGCATTTGCACTCACGAATCATTGCTTCCGTTCTGACTGCTTCCTGCCTTGAAGTTTACTGAAGGCAGAGAGGCAATTGTATCAGCTGAAAGCCCCCTACTCTCAGTTCCAACAACTTCACCCAATGCAAGCAACTCCTATAATGATCAAAGCATATACCATAAGGAGTAAATCAAACTAGAAGCTTCACCACTAGAAGCACCAGATCAAAGCCTAGCTCACCTCATATGAAAGCTCATCTGGATCGACCTCCTCCCATGCATCCTGCAGATTCAAGAGCAAATGAGAGGAATTCTAAGACAACAAAATTAAGTGTAGAAAAAAACAGATTCTACATTCTGGACAAGGGCTCATTTCTACACATTTTCATTCACATACAAACATAACTAGAAGCTACCATTAAAAGGGGATACTTTTAAATTATAAACACTTTGGAGTGGAATGCAACACTAATACTCTTTGAAATTATAGCATTTAACATCCTTTGCATGGAGGAAACAGTTAGCCTGAAAAATATGGTGGCAATACAGTAAATTTTATTCTCCAATGCATTTTTAAGGAAAGAAATCGAACAAGTATTCCTTTAGATGAATAAACCTAATAGATATGATGCGACCCAGAAAAATAATTACTTGGCATATAATACAATAACTTTAATGAATTTAAAGCTAAAATAAAAGTACAAAATGATTGAGAATCAATAGCCAAAAAAAAAAAAAAAAAAAAAAAAAAAAAAAAAATTGAGAATCAAATAAAAAAAAAAAAAAAAAAAAAAAAAAAAAGAAAAATGAGACAGACACAGAAAAGGCAATCTACAATAACATATTCCTCAAGGGCTGGGCAAGTAGCCATTTATAGTGCCACAACATTATTTGGTTCAATAATGAAAGGAACATTACAACAAAGCTTCTTGGAGTGCATATTTTACCATATCACTAGGTTTCATTGGGCAGAATCAATTTATACCAGGTGTAAAACCTCCTATCCTAATGGCTTCTTGATCAGGACAACTTATAAACTAGAGTTCAAAGCCTGTTTTGAGGTTGATTTTGAAGCAAGCAAAGGTAGCAAATAAGTGGAAAAATTAGGCTACCATAAGGGGAACAATAAGTAATCAAACGAAAGTAGAAAAAAAGATGAAGAATTTAGCTGATCTGATTTGCAGATTTGGCATTGCAAAGAGTGCTCCAGATAGTAGTTTGAAGGAACTAGAGATTCTTTGATGCTATGGAATATAAATTAGGATTGAAAAGGACGGATTCTAGCATGAAAAGGGAAGTATTTCAGACCAGAATTATATCATATTTGATACCAAAATAGAAATGAAACAACAAGATTGAGCTCCACACTCAGTTCATGAGAACTTACACCCACCCCCCACCCCCACCCCTTTTTCTTCTTCTCTTTCCATTTCAAAGGATACAAAGACATCACATTTAGGGTTGAAATGTATTGTAAAATACAACCACAACTGCTAGAAATTTTCTCTACTTCTATTTATGTATGCTTCTTAAAAAAAAAAAAAAAAAAAAAAAAAAAAAAAAAAAAAAAAAAAAAAAAAAAAAAAAAAAAAAAGATTAAAAGCACAGATACACGGACCTCAGCCTTCGCTCCAACCAAAGAACCCACTCCTAAAAAAAAAAAAAAAAAAAAAAAAAAAAAAAAAAAAAGATTAAAAGCACAGATACACGGACTCAGCTTCGCTCCAAACCAAGGAACCCAAACTCCTAGTACTTGCACTAAAAATACAAAACTAAGAAGATCAAACACAAATCAAATAAAAAATCTTACAATGTAAACAAACAGCCAATACTGCAAAAGACCAATTATTTCCAGTTTCCAGCAAGAAAGAAATCACAATAAGAAACCTGAACCCCCTAAAATACTAGACCAACAGCTAATTTAATAGCAAAATCATCTCTCTCTTTGAAAGGACTTAAACTGATGCAGATTCAGCATGGGTGTTTCTTAGCCAATTTGCGTGCTAGATTTACAGTTTTAATGTTACTTTGTTTGAATTTATCTCAAAACTTCCTAGTCAGTACAGGAGTCAAATAAACAATGAGCCTTCTCAGTTGTATTAATAATCTTAGACAAAGTAAACCAGAATGTTAATGTAAAAAATGTCCATTTTTTCTAAGAAATAAGAGTCCAAGTAAAGGTTTAGGACTATATTTTGAAGTCACCAATATCATGCTTGGAAAGCATTACTATCCAATATTTCAGTCAACAAAACTCTAGCAAATTTACATTAAGCACTACTTTACTGAGGATAATAGTTCTCTTTTGTTTATTTCATATTTTCCCTATTTTTCCTTAAAATGGCCTGATATGCCATTTCAATTTACGCCCTAATTCTGGATTCTAGAAACCCTAGCTCTAATCTCTAAACAATATGACCATTTCTTATGATGAATAGGAACAGGACAAAACAAACAAGTGGCTGAAATGAAGGTTCCACAGGGGGAAAACAATAGTGCTGTATAATACTTAATTTAGAAAATACTACAACACAGTCTTAGTTTACTGTCAAAACAAAGATATGGATGATTATGCTACACAAGGGAACAGGTATTATCATTATAAGCATCAGGAAAATATCTGAAAACTAAAAAATGTTCTTGAATCAGTATTTAGGTTGTGGCATTTTTAAAGATGATTCTTGCCCCAAGTTATCAGTCCATAAACCAAGTTTAGCCGTCTATGTGCCTCAATGAAGCTCCATCTATTTACCCATTAGTCCATCATTACAACATCCAATTAATCCATAGCTTTGAAGATTTTGTGTAGATAATGATGTAGGTAATGATTATTAGGTTTCAAAAATTTAGAACTTACAGTTTTACCTTTATCTAAAATTTTGATAACTCTTCTGTAAGTTAAGCTTATTGGTAGCATATTTACAATCACTTAATGAAGATACTCTTCATCAGTCACTCACTCCTACAATCCTCAATTGATAGATTAAGAATAATTTTGCACATATAACTTAGTACTTGGAATTAAATTTTATGTTTAGAACTTGTAGTTTTCAATCTTTTTCTTCATTGGGACATCTTCAAGTTAAGCACCTTCATAAGTTAAAGCAGAAAGAGATACCCAAGTAGCTACTTAAATGAGGTAACCCTTATTCAGCTAAGATGGTAAAATACACAAAACCAGTAGCTAGGTCCAAGGACTTTATCAGGGTTTATTAGAGTACCATGTTAAGAGCTTATTGATTCTTTTCAGCTAGCAGATGTCTTTGTCATAGAAATTATTTCATCTTTCCCATCTTTTTTTCCTTTTTGGATCTATCCAACCCTCCCTCAGTCCTCTTCTATTGCTTCTAGAACATTTCTCTCTTTGATTCTCATTTTTCCTACTTTTTTATTATTTCTCTCCTCATTCCTTGGCATTTTGGAGAACTTTCACCTTCTTCAGTTAACCTTTATTTTTACTAAAAGCAATCCCCCTCAATTGCCAGTTACAGGGAGTGTCAACCGCCCAGCATAAGTTAAAATCCAATCACCCTTAGCCCACTGTTCCACTGTTTCATTATTTTAAGCTTATCAATTTTTCCCACATATACTCTCTTTGATAGTTGCTTGTTTGTGATATCAAGTTTATAATCTTCTCTAGTAGCAAGACTACCTCATAAGTTATCCCCAGGAAAAATAATTGAAAAGAACCATTTCAACTTTATATTCACATCTTCCTATTAAAACAAACTAAAAGAATAACTCCTTGATTCTTGACATTGTTAGGAAAGACTAACGAGTGACGAAGTCTGTTAAGAAGTTTCCGATTAAATATAAACAGCAGCATCTAGAGTAGAAATAAAGAAAAAGAAAAAGGAAATTTAACCAGATGCCTTAGGTTGGAGCTTCTGAAGACGTAGGCAAGGAGCATATTTTCAGTATGTGATATTTGTGCAATTGACTTCTACTTAAATGTTAATTTTTCAACTATTTTCTTACCATAGGAATGTTAGAATCATTGAACCACAGACATATTGGGCAAAACACAAATTAGGCTTACATTTGTATTACAAAGATAAAAGATTGACTATCAATTCAAATAAATGTGATACATCATGAAAGAACTGAAATTTCTGATAGCATGTCATGTGATTGAGACAAATTTTCAGGTGAAGGAGAATAGAAAGAATCCTACAGAGAGACAAAAATTTGTACCTGGGAGTTAGCACCAAGATCCTCAACGTCCTCAACTTCTCCTGTAAAGAAAAACAATAATATAAGTTTGACTAGACAAGACAAACTAGCATATGCCTCATCAGTTGAAAACATGGCGGCATTTCTCTTTCAACACTCACTCTCATTTATTCCAGCAAGAGCCAAGAGTCTAGCAGCCATTTCCCTTTCTTCAGCATCTTGTAGGGCTCTAGCATAGGCCTCATCGCTAGAAAACATGGCTGGGTCAAGATCAACAGCAGGATTATTATCAACATCAGCATCAGTATGAGCATGCACATCAAAAGCATCCATGCTATCATCTACATCTGTGCCATCCTCCTCCTCCTCTTCATCATCATCATCTCCATCACTGTCATCATCAGGATCACCAAAATCATCCTCATCATCTGGAAAATAGCTTCCAGCTTCCCAACTTCCATAATCACTCCCCTCATTGCCGAATCTCAACATCATGTATGCCCTTTCCTAATCCATAAATAAGAACATCAATGAAAATACCATGAAGAATAACACCTACTAACCAAATCTTTCAGCCATCAAAAGCCCAATACTTTGGTCGTCTAGTATATTCAGTTGTCAGAAGTTAAAACTTTGAGCTCAACAAAATATAGCAAATAAACAAACCCATAAAAATTAAAATCAAGTTTGTTGAAAACCCAAATGAAGTTGAGATTAAGGAGGCATTAAAGGAGTGAGAATCGAACAATCGCTAATCTACCCTAAATTATCCTGAGAAATCAGAAAGAAAGAGACCTGTTCTTGGAGGGTACGTGCAAGAGCGAGGTCAGCATCGACCTGACTGAGATTAGTGAAGGGAGTTCTTCTAGAAGACTGGCGTGGAGGCTGGGCTTCCTGTTCCTCTTCATCTCCATTATTATCGTTTGCAGAACCTAAATTAAGGTTCTGTTCCTGCTCTTGTTCCCTCTCGCTGTCGTTGTTATTGTTATTATTGCCAATACTCTTCGCTTCTCCTGAACCTAATTTAGGGTTGTTCTCCATTCTTAATATATGGATTGGAAAAGGCTCTCCGGTTTCTTGGTTTCTTGCCCTTTTATATGGTTTTCCGAATGGATCGATTCTGTTTTGTGCCTCTGGCTTGATCGAATCCGAAGTAGAATATTTGAAGAATCAAAAAGATGTCGGATTGATTGGAAAAGGCTCTCCGGTTTCTTGGTTTCTTGCCCTTTTATATGGTTTTCCGAATGGATCGATTCTGTTTTGTGCCTCTGGCTTGATCGAATCCGAAGTAGAATATTTGAAGAATCAAAAAGATGTCGGATTGAAGAAAGAGAGAGAACTTTAATAGTTAGTTAATAAAATCAAAATCGAAATTTAAGAATTGTGAGAAGAATACAAAAGGAACCGACCCTGCTATCCCTCCTCCCCTCTCTATTTTGAACTCGACAGCCGCTTTACGGGAGCGTCTCGCTTCTAATTGCGGGCCCAAATCCTAATGTGTGATTGATGTTTAGATCATCGATATACCCCATAATCCTTCAATTTGCATTTATTATCGTCTTGGTCCTTGTATTTATATATATGGAGTAATATTTTTTTTTCTGAACACTTAGTACTGTCACACGGGCAGCCGGGCCAGGCCCGGCCTGGACATGTTCATTTTTAAAAGAAAAAAACTATTTTCATTCAAACTAAAAACTAATTAAATTCAATGAAATAATTAAATAAATTGAGATATCTCAACAGATTAGAAGGGTCATGGTTCACAATCCACCTTAACTAGTCTATATGTAATTTTAATATAGAAAATCAGATCTACAGCTCGTGGACAATTTCTAAAGGCTAGTTGTGTAAATTTTTGTTCTTTTTATATAAAGTTCTACTTGCAATAATCTTCGTAGTTATGACTTTTACCACAACATGGTTGCAGTTTTCTCTGACCTCCTAAAGTGGGTAGTTCGCAAACGTGTCTGGTCCAGCCCGTGCAGGCTCACTCTCAAAGCGGGTCAGGTAAAAAAAGCTCATATCGAAAATGGTCCTCAATTCTTTTATTTGGATCTGTAAAAAAAAAAAAAAAATACGGGTGATTCCAAGCCAGGTTAAGCACGTTTTGACTGTAAAATTTGGCCAAGAATAATGTGATTATAGACTCATATTTAAAGTAATGAGGCTTATTGTTTCTAAGATCTGTTTGGTGTGATCAAACTATGTGGCTTAAGCTTACTATGATCCGACAAACGGTTTCGGGTCATGACAGTTTTCGACTAGTCGTCATTTGAATGCGATGGAAATAGTCAGCCAGGCTTCTCAAGTTTCCCCTGGAGAGCCACCAGCATTATTATTAGGGATGGGAACACTCCTCACCTTAATCTCCATCCAGACCTTTCTTCAACCCCTATAAAATCCAAAAAGGCTTTCAAGAAAAGGAAAATGGTCTCCAAAAGGAGAATAGATTTTCAGAGTTAAGATCCTTATTGGAGGAAGGAGACATAGGCAAAATTAGGATGAAATATTCAATCCCTGGGGAATTCAAACTGTTAACTATGGATGATAATGTTCGGACAAATTTCAAGCAAAACCCAAATTTTCTGATTTTGTATGAGGAAGATTTGAGGGTCGGCGTGCACCTTTAATCGCAAGGAGAATTAAGTGAATACCTAAACCAATTAGGCGTTAATGTTTCTCAGCTCGCCACTAATAGCATTAGGATAATGCTAGGACTTAGTACCTTAGCTCGCCAGGACAACTTGCCAAGCCAACTTGGAGTTTTCATTTTATGTTATAAATGCTCTATACTACCTAACCGAGAAAGGGAGGATCATCTTTACCTATCTGCTTGTGATCATAGTGGTGTGTTTGAGGGAATGCCTGGTTCCCTAAAGGGAAGATGGAAAGAAAAATTCTTTGTGGTGAAGAGTCAAAAGGATTTTGGGGTAAACACATGCTGGTTAAGAATTGCTCCCCCCCCCCCCAAATTCTTTCGTGGTTGAAGATCAAAAAGGGATTTTGGGTAAACACATGCTGGTATTAATGAATTGCTCCCCCCCCCCCCCCCCCCCCCCCTTTCGTGAAGATAGACTCTTAAGAGACAAAGAAAAAACAAGTATAGAAACTTTAGTCAACTATGCCAAGAGACTCATTCACATCCAGGGTCTTTAAAGTTAAAGTATCCTGTGATTCGCGTGGGAAAGAACTCATACCGAAGAAAAGTTAATAAAGGTACATATAGTATGATTCCAGATGATCGTCCCCTTTTAAACTGACTTTTTAACATGCTTTACTTGTTGTAGATATAGCGGGTGATGACTTCCTGAAGAAAGCGAAACAGTAAAGAAGAAAGAAAAAGGAAACACAAGTTGCTACAAAAGCAAAGAAAAAACCTACTAGGAATGAAGGCTTGGTTTTAAGAGATGAAGATAAGGAAAATACAGAAACTCCCCCACCATAAGCTCGGCCTATTCCTCCTCCAACCTCAATTGTCCTACCTTCCGATCGTCCTACTTCCGCGCACCTTGTTCCTCCTAATGTTGGAACAAACTCTAGTCCTCCTGCTCAAGACGCATTAGAGTTGGATAATCCCACAATGGAGGTAATATATCATGTTGCTGATGATGAGATACCTTTATCCAGGAAGAAGAAAAGAATCCGTTAGGATGCTACAAGGAAGCAACCTGCATATCTAGATGTAACGCCTTGATTTCTGGAATTATGAATAATAGCTTACTGGATTGCTAATTGATACCTAATTAGGGTTTGGTATGAATCAATTTGGATAAGTTATTTTCATATTATTGAGTCTTGATTGTGATTCATGCATTGCATGCCATTAGTTTGATCATTCATGCATTAAATGATTTCTAAATTGCGAATTGTGAAGTAGTACCTTAGGAAGTCTAGTTATAGAATTTAATGTTATATAGTTCTAATTGCACTTAGATATTTGGAATTGGGATTAGAAATGGTGTTAAATCAATTTTAGAATATTTTTCCTTTTTTAATATGATTTTTCTTTATGTATTGAGAATTAAAATAATTAATTTGGTACTTATGGATTGTGGCTCAGTTGGTAACGCACGCTGCGCGTGTGGAAAGAGCTCTCAGATTTGATCCCCACTAAACGTACCTGTAAAGAGGGGTGAACAGCCTTAACTGTAACTAAGCCTCGAACTAGAGTAGGCGGTCCTTGGTAAAGGAGTTCGGATACTGGTGGTTTACATAAAAAGATTTAATTTGGTATTTATTAATAATTGATAATATTAATATTATTAATATAATTATCTTTAATTATCTACATAATCCCCTAAATAATCTAGAAAATCTCCTAAAATCTCCCTTCAACTGCTAGGAAATAAATATAATGGAGAAAATCTCTCCATTATCTTATCTCAAACCCAAATCAAGTTACCCTCTACTACTATATAAATACTAGTTTAGTGATCAGGCATACAAGACTAGTTTCTTCTTCTTAGTTCTAAGTACTCTATCATCAAATTGTGTGGTGAGCATGGAATGCATTTACTTCGCGAATCAATGACTAGTAGTCAAAGTCATTTGGATGTTAGAGTTCTAGTCTCAACCCTTCATAGGAGCCCCTATGCCTATAGAAGATAACTAGTTGATATCCTTGGCTGGCTTTCACTTCTAATCTTTAATCTTCCTTGTGAATCAATAACTCAAGCTCATGCGGAATTTCAAATTATTGTTGGTAAATAAAGGCTTCTTGTAGGTAAATAAAGGCTTCTTGTAAACCTTTTGCAATTTTATGGCTTTATTAGAAATCATCCAAGTTCAAAAGGTAAATCAAATATGCTTTGTTTTTTTATCATATCCTCTTTATTCATCTTTTTAAAAGAAATATTCACAAATCATAATGTTTTTTTTTTTTTTTTTTTTTTTTTGTTTTGTTTTTTTTTTTTTTTTTGCAAATTGATAATTTATATTTTGTAGTGACTAATCAGATTTATACATCAAACCAAAAGAAGTAAAGCATGCTTATACGAAACTTTTTTTTAAGTATTTTAATTTTTCTTGGGTTCTTTTGAGCTTCATGAATAGAATATGTAGAAATTTAATACGGTCATTCTTTTTGAAGAAAGCTTTATGAATCAAGATCCTATTGATTATGTTGAATGCTTCATGAAGGTCCTTTAATCTTTAGGCCTTCATTATCACACATTATTTTATTTTTGTGTCGAAAAATAAATTAGCTAGCCTAAATTATTAACTACTTGATTGAATCTAAGCTGCAGAATTATTGGAGTAATAAAACATACTATGACACTCTGATGTGTTGATAGAAACAGGAAAGGGGTCCAATAATTTTCCTTCTTGCTTGAATAAATTTGTTGAATTGATTAATTAACTGATTGAATGTCTGTGTTCTATTCCTTCAATAATTTATGTAAGAGGACGAAGGAAATAAAGATTAATTATATATAATTATTACTTTTGCAAATCACTAAAAAAGAAAAAAGATTAGTACTGCATTTGTTGCCAAAAATCTTACTAGGTGATAATTGAAAAGAATTACTTAAGCTATCTTTGTTAAAATCAACCAATAACAGACATAACAAATATAATATACGAGATACACACCTACTGTTATATGTAAGAGCTAATCGTGAAATTTTCATACAGATTATAATAATGTTTTCAATTAGACATTACATGTAATATCTCTTTTGCACTTTTAGAACAAGTTATTACATATTAAATAATAATTAATTGTTTTCTATTTCTTTGGGGACGTGACATTAAACTTGTTGTGATAAAAGGATGATATATTTACAAAGCTTTGGGTACTTAATTTTAATAATATTAAAAACTTCTACTTATCTTCCTCTCTCGAAAGAATTAGTTATCAATTAGTTATATGATTTAAACGTTAGATTGTAATTGTTCGTTATAAGATAAAACTTTATATCTCTAATTACTCCTAACGAGAGGAGGTCCAACTCCTTATTATTGGAAAATTGATTATCATATCTATTCTCGGTCATATGAATCTTAAGACAAGTGTTAAAAGAATAATATATTTTGAGTATTAGTCTATATAGATCACATGAAACTTACTGCAAGGTAAATCCAATATCGCATATGACCTTGTTTTAATTATGGTTTACTACTATGCTCTATACTAGAAGATACGGTTGTTTATCGCGCTTCGTTCTATATATAAGT